AATCTACCCTTTCTTCTTGTTGTTCCTTTTCGTCTTTTAAGTTGGCCTCTTTGTGCCAATCATTTGTATCAAATCATAGCTCACCTTCGACCAGTGGTGTCCTGAAAGATTTTCACCAACCGGCCTCTCTCATTTATTTATCTCTACTTACCATCGCCTTATTGTGCCCATGAGGGTTTTCACCAATAAGACTCTCTCATCTCCACTCATTATCTCTTCTTTGTTTTCGCCTTTTTGTGCGACAAACTTGACATTGTTCTACGTTATGTGACAACTGTTGCTTACTGCATGTCTCCCTTGGCATTCTTAAGACTATTTGGAAGGTCTTTATTTGGAAGGCTATTGGAGAGGGTTAGAAAGAAAGGGTCACAATAAGGCTCAAAATAGACTCAAGATGATAGGGTTGTATATTTACAACTCTTGGAATCGACTCTTCATAAAAACATAAAAAGAAATTCTGCCCCAGTTTCAGATACTGGGGAATTTTTGATTTGGTTAGACTGAACCCTAGTGTAGAGCTGCCTAGGTATCCTTTAAAGGAATCAAGTCAAACATAGTTCAAACTAACATAAAATGTTTCTTTATTGTTTTTCTATTCATTTTTCATTTTTCATTTTTCTTTCCTTTTCTTATATATACACACACACACTCAGATTGTCCTAGCTCCTATCTTTCTGGTGGCATGGATCTTCGATTCTTTGTTTTTTGTTTTTGTTTTTTTGACTATATACTTGATTCCAAAGGGGGGGGGGCGAAGAAAAATAAAACCAGCTCAAAAGGGGTAACAAAGAGTATAAAGTGTTTGGGTAGCAGAAAAAAGGGCCTCCCAGCCTCAAGAATGCCAAACATTCTATCTCTTCTCAGGTTCGGCATTGATGGACATGACTCTCTTCTTGGTTTTCTCAGTTGTATAGTTTCGTAGTCAATATCTTGTTCGCAACAAATGACTTTTGACAATTTGGAGTCACCTTCTCTTGGTCCTTATCCTGATGTAGAAGGGTGTACTTCAGTACCAGCTAATCATTTTAAATTCCCTGGAATGCACCTTCTTTGCGGATTTGGGTCATCTTCCCTGATATGATCAGATTATGCATGCCATGGCAAAAACCTTTTCGCTGATTAGTCCAACCAAACTTCAAAACTTTCAATTATCCTTAAACCAGTATTCATGACTGTTTTGGTTCCATGTGATCTTGACACAGGCTTATCATCAAAGTTTTTCAACCTCTTACTTGTCCTCCACGTGTTTTTTCCTCGATTCAATTCAAAATTGGACAAACTTTCTAAAATCTAACCGAAAACTCCGCATGCATGTCATGTCACTAAAATTAGCGTGAAAAGAATTATATATGAAAGAAGAACTAAACACAATGGATTAAAATGACACAAAGAAAAAAGTTGTATTTCATTAATTAAAGGATAGAGAGGCTTGATGACAGGACAAACAAACAACATCTGGATCACAACCTCGAAATAATCCGGATGATAGAAATTATGACAAAATAAGTTACCAAGACTCCTTCCCGGCAAGGAAGGGAGTGACTTTCCAATTATCAAGCTCAACATCTTAGCTACAATTTGCACATCAGCATCAAACAAGATCGTCAACAATTTTGAATGCCTTGCATTCAGTAGACAGGTTCTTTACATTTTCCAATAAACCGTCCCCATATTCTTTCTCATTGTAAATCATCCGAACAATGCGTGCTTAGTCATGACGTTTAGGGTGCCATTATCTTGGACCACGATCATTCCTTCTTGAATCATCTTTTCTATTTCCTTTTTCAAAGCTCGACAATCCTCAATGCTATTTCCCTGGACATTAGAATGGTACATGCACCGTACAGCAGGGTCAAAACCTTTTGCATATGGACCAGGAACATACCCTTGAAGCGGCTCAATCATGCCACAATGTTTCAACCTTTCAAACAAACTTGTGTAGGATTCTACGATTGGCGTGAAATTGTCCCTCCGCTTATGTTCCCTTTCATACTCTTGTTTTGGATGAGCGTTGTAGAGTGATTGAGAGTTCTGATGTTGCGGATGAAGGTAGGTTAGAGTCGGGGCCTACATATGTTGGCAATTGGATGGTTTGGCAAAAGACTGAGTTGCATACTGTGGAGCAACTGAGTATCGTGGATCCGGGGGTTGAGATGCTCCTTTTTGGCCTCTTTTTGCCCGTGATGCCATCATGGCCTCCTCATCTTTCTTCTTTTGGTTAACACAGCTATTCGGCCTATTCTGGATTTCTTTGATGGTTGCTTTGAGAGCGGCTTGACTTATAATTCGGCCAGTATTGAGGCCGTTCTCGACCACTTCTCCTATCTTGATTGCATCAGCAAAAGGTTTGCCCATTGCAGCCATCATATTTTGAAAATTATCAGGATCCTGAGCCTGAAGGAAGACAATGATTAACTCATGGTCATCCATGGGTGGTTTAACTCTGGATGCTTGCTCTCTCCACCTAACGGCATACTCCCTGAAGCTTTCATTCGGCTTTTTCTTCATATTGGACAGGGAATTGCGATCTGGCGCAATATCAATGTTGTACTAAAATTGTTTGACGAAAGTCTGGGCCATGTCGTCCCAAACATGCAGTGAGAGATATCTTGGTCAATGAACCATTCAGAGGCTACCCTTACCAGACTCTCCCCAAAATAAGCCATCAGCAACTCTTCTTTTCCTCCTACACCCCTCAACTGGTTGCAGTACCTTTTCAAGTGGGCGATAGGGTCGCCGTGTCTATCATATTTCTGAAATTTTGGTGTCTTGAACCCTGGGGGTAAATGCATATGAGGAAACATGCACAGATCACTGAATGAGACACTTTTGTGACCACCTAGTCCTTGTATGTTCTTTATGTTCTGCTCAAGACTTTTCATTTTCCTGACCATCTCGTCTGGCTCTCCTGTCTTTACAGCCTTTTCATTTTTTGCAGGTAACACATACTGTGGGGTCTGATTGTGTGGAGCCGAACCCTTAAAAGCCATATCTGTAGAGTAGTACTGGCCATCATAAGCATGAGATAGCAGCTCGATGTTTGGCCTCGTCACAAGATTTGGTGGGGGGATTGTATACACAGGCGGACCAGAAACGACGAGAGATGTGTTCCTAACCGGTGCGGCAGAAGGCTGCGCATTAGAGATACCAGGGACAGTATGGAAGCTGTAGTTTAGCACATACCCTGGTGGTAGAATGTGATCACTCGTTGCAGGGAGCGGTGGTTGAGTAGCCTGGGGTATGGTGGAAGTTCCCTCAGAGGGACCCTGAGGCGGAGGCTGACCAGAGACCCAAGCCTGATACACATCACTCAGTTGATGTTTCAATCTTCTTACTTCCTCCGACTCTTGCTCAACCGATTGACCCAGAGGGTCGTCACTAACCAACTCAATTTCATCATTGTTAGCCATCGCTACCTTCCCCTTAGATCTGGTCAAGTAATGATGCATTGCCAATTTCACCACAAACCAACCACCTTAAGCTTACTATATAAGAGGCAACAAACGTGTTAGGGTTAAGCATTTTATAAAATACGAATCACACGTAACTATGCTATGCTCCTAACATTATCACGTATCTAACATGCTTTTGGAAGGCTCCATGTTTCATTCTGGCTTATAAGGTTGCTGATTATTGACACTCTTATTTATTCCTCTCTTCTTTTTTCCCTTTTTTACACCTCGCCTTATTTTAGAGCCATTGAAAAATATTTCGATCGAACCTTTTGGGGGTTGCCTACGTATCATGTCGCCGCATAAATCAGATCATTACGTAGTTCAAGGACATGACCTTTTTTTCTTAAATTAACAAAACAAAGTTTTCCCCCTTTTTTTATGTACAAATAAAACAACATTTTTTTGGTTCATTTTCAAATTTTCCTAAAACAAAATCTTTTTCATTGATTTTTGATTTTTTTTGGTACAAGACAAAGGGAAATTACATAAAGATACAACCCAAAAGACGAATATTTAAACAAGACCGGACTTGACTCAAACAAGACGAATATTTAAGCAAGACTCACAACACTAAAAGACTCTTACAAACTTGATGACTACAAATGAACAATCAAAGTGGATTGCCAACTAAAAGAAGACTCTAACCTCCGAATGAGAATCCACCGGCATCATTGTAGTTAAGGTGCTTATTCCTGCGGCTGACCTCCCATATCATGGTATATGCGCCTTAAGTCTATGGCAATGTGGCGTGCGAAGTTGGGCGCTACTATAGCAAATTGCTCTCGTGTCAAACCCTGACAAGTCACACACCCTCGAGCGGTATAAGTAGCCACCTCATAGACCCTCCTTCTAACATGCTCCTGGCTCCGACTTAAAAACTGGATGTGTCACTCATGGTTATTGGCTATGTCTGATATATCCGCCTCATGTTGTGATGCCAGATTCAGCTGGTTTTGGACCCTTGCTAGCTCATTCTCTAGCTGGTTCTTACTTGATCCTGCAGCCCTGGCCCGAGCCTTTAGATCATGGATGATAAGGTTGTAATGCATTTCTTCGTGCTTTGGAATGGCCGCTTGTTGCTGATTAGCGGCTTCTATTCTTGCTTGTCGAAGCTGTGCTTTGAAGCGCTTGAACCTCATGTATTAATTGGGTTTTTTCCTCTTTAAACTCAGTATACTGCAAATCCCTATTCACGTTGACGATACTTATATCCCTACGTAGTTTGCGGATGATGGATTCATAGTCTCTTGCTATTTCCTCCTTGGCCTACCCCACTCTTGTTCTAATTTTAGTCTCCCATTCTGTCGTGCTCTTCAGAATTGTCTCTTGCCTAGATCTTATAGCATCTTGGTCATAGAACCACTCAAAATATGCAGGGTCTAACTCTCCTTGATCTTCATCTTCTATCATAGTGTGAAATTCAAGCACCTTAATTTCATCCTAAACCTGCTTAGCATAGGCCTCACGAACAGGATCCTCCGATATTACCTCCCACATGAATCTTTGCATGTGCTCCACTGTGGGCACGACTTGTTTTCGACCTAATTAGCGTAGGGCTCTCATAGGCACATACGGGTGGAAACCCCGAAGACCCATCAAAATCAAAAACGAATGGTGGTAAGACCTGTATATGACCTCTTTTGGTGAGAATGAGTGGTATTTCCATGTGATTCCAGTAGCAGTTAACTTTTGAAGATACCCTCTCCATGCTTCGACGCCCTTGGGGAAGTTACTATCTTCGGTCAAAACTTTAGACCTATCTTCAAGCTCATTGTTGCACCAATGGACGCTAAAATTTACCCGTACGGGGTGAAGGAGAAGGTGCTCTAAAAACCATATCTGGAGTATGATGTTACAGCCCTCAAAGAAATCTTTCCCTTCCTGACATTTGGTTAGGGCACGGTAAATATCTGACAATACCATAGGAATGATAGTGACATCCTTTCCACGCAATAAAGCGGTAACTATGCCAGATAATCGAATATCAATATTTTTGTCATGCCTCGGGAAAACCATCGTCCCTAGAAATGCCACTAGGAAAGCTCTCCGCCCATGGCTTTGCCAAGCTTTGTATCCAATTTTATTATCAAGCTCTTTCCCGTGCTTTGAAAATCCACCCGGACACCCATACCTGTCGTACAAGAAATCTAATCGAACGTGCCCTCGTTCCACACTTGCTATTTTATTTTGGCTGATTGTCATCTGCTCAAGGAACTTACTGCCAGTGACATCCCTCGGGGCCAAGGGTCTCTTCTTCCGAAGCTCATCGCCTAACTTTGTGTATCCAGCTAACTCCTCTAAAGTGGGAGTCATTTCGAAACCATCAAAACGGAATACGTTGTTATTAGGATCCCAGAAATGCACCAACGCCTCGATTAAGTCCCCCCTTGGGTTGATCTCCATAATATTCACAAAGTTACCCAGATGGTCCTTTATCTTTTCCTGCTCACAAACGCCCATATTTTTCCACCATTGCCTTAGCAACCAGGGTGTTTTTATTGCACTAAGCCAGAATCGCAAGGTTCATCATCTTTTAGTTTTTATCGGGTCTTCCACTTGCTGAATTCATATCTTACCTGGATAAATAAAATGTGAGGTCAAGTCCTAATATAAACTCGAAGAAATGACACCAAAGCAGACTTTTGGATAAGACAATGAACGAACTTCTTAGTGGAGAAAATTCCTCGTATTGAAGGATCAGTCAACTAAGACCCAACTGGTCAGACTTGATTGATATGCAAAATTTAGACGAAAAGGACCAGACTCTAGGATGACTAACCACGTATCTCATCGAGGAAGCAAGACATGATAAAAACCGACCGACCGAGGACAAAACGATAAAAGGTGACAAGAGGGACAAGATGGTTATTCTTGTGAAAACGGTTCTTCAGTACTTCGAAGGAAAGTACTATGGCTGTCTCGGTAAAAACATCGTACACATGGATAAACGGGTAAAAGCAGACAAAAAATTCATTATTTTTACGAAAACAACCATTATGGTACTTCCAAAAAGTTTTAAGGTTGACTCGTCTAAGATGGCCGGAAATAAGGGCAACACGGCAAAAATGTAAACAAAATGAATTTGCGAAAATAGCTCCTTGATGCTTCCAAGGAAGGCTGTCCTGGAAAAACAGCCGGAATACGAGGGCAAAACAGTAAAAGGTGACCAAAAATAGCAATTTTTTATTATTATTTTTTTTCGAAAATTTTATGCACATGCGTAATTTTTATGCCCTTTTTTTAAAAAAAATAAAATAAAAATATGGGCTGAACACGATGGAGGTTGCCTACGTATCTCACTGGGTAGTGAGAATCAATCCCGCGTAGTTCGATGAAACCGACTATTTGTTTTCTGATTTTTATGAAAATAATCATTACAACCTCAACTTCAAGACTACTTCAAAAATTTTAGTAAAATAGGATTATTTATACTAAACTAGGAGAATGATTTTTTTTAATTCCGCTCAACTAATTTTTCTAAAATCCAGTCAAGCAATGCAAGCAAAACCTTCCAATGATAGTAGCAAATAGCACATACGATGAGCATGATGGTCTCAAAGAGGATACCTGTCCTATACGGACCCGACTCCCGTGCCAAGCTCGCTAAGTCAAATATACGTGATGCAAATAAAGCAACCCTACTAGGGATATGCGGCATGAGGTTTGTTCTTCTAGGTTTAAATCTTATTGGAGAAAGTATCTAGACTGGCTTACTCGAGCGGACAACTCGAGCCGAGGAGGTTCAGCGTACCAGTAGCATTGCTTTCCGGCTTAGCTGGTGGTGCTCCCCGCCTAAAACATGTGTGACTAAAATCCTTCACCGGGTGACAAACACCTCGGCTATCTCAAAGAAAGCCCGCTATGTCAAGCAAATGCCCAATTTTTAATTTCAAGAAGACTCAGAGGGGGTGTGTGAGAAGACAGTTTATATGTACAGTTCAAAAATATCAAAGCGGTAAAAAGCAAACAAGTAGCACATTATGCCCAAATAAATCACAGTATATACAAAATTAATAAAGCCAATTAAAAGTCAACATGTACAAGCTCGAATTCTGGTTGTCCCCAACGGAGTCGCCAGAGCTGTCACACCCCTTTTTCTACCCCCGAAAGATATGTGTATTATGGATTGTGGGTGGGTTAAAGAGTTTTTCCAACTAAAGTGACAAACTTGAATAGGGATTATTTTGTTTAAGAGTCGCCACTTGGAATTGATTTTTTGGGTGTTCCAAGTCACCTTTTTATTTGAATCCCTAGTCAAAGGAAGGTTTGACTCTATTATTATTGGTCCGCGAAAATAAAGTTCGGGTAAAGAATTCTGTTGACTCGGGAGAAGGTGCAAGGCATTCTCCGAGTCCCGTGGTTCTAGCACGGTCGCTTTTATTGACTAAAATTGGCTTGAATTGATTTTTGGATAAACTGTGCTTTATTTAATTTTTATGTTTTACCTATCCGCTTTTATTTCTTGATTATTAGATTTATTAAAAAAATGATTTTTTTGGATAAATTATGTTGTCATAACCACGCTACGCGAGCGAATGCGTGATCGAGACAAAATTTATTAATTTTATCATAACAGCGCTACGCAAGCGAATCCGCAGTAATGACAAAGATTATTAGTGCGTTATTACTTTTGAAAAAAAAAGGTTACTACACTTGAAGAAATTAATTTTTGAAATTTATTAAAATAAACATCACGCTACGCAAGCGATTCCGTAAAGTTAAAGCGTGCCTATTATTTGCCTAGCTTTTAAACCAATTAATTAAGAAAAGAGATTAAATTATTTAATTAATTATTCAAGAGGGGAGGATATACTACTATTGAATTTTATTTAACTAACCTATAGCTTGAACTTGCTAGGCTTATGCTATATCAATGAGCCAAATCAGTGTGTGTGTTTATGTGTGTGTGTGTGTGTCTATATATNGCTTATTGAAATTGCATGACATTAGGCCACTTATTTATTTGTAAAAAAAAAAAGGGTTGGTTTATTGATTAAGAAAAGAACTCAACTTATGGATACTTGGTATCAATGAGCCAAATATATATATATA